TGAGCGGTACCGAGCATATACTGAGCAATACCGAGCATGTACTGAGCGGTACCGAGCATATACTGAGCAATACCGAGCATGTAACTAGCGATATCTCATTTAATAACCGGACGCGCGTGTCCAATTTTAATTTTAATTTTTTTAATTGTGACACTCCAATGCCGTGTCGGACGCGTGTCCATGCCGTGTCCGACGCGTGTCCGTGTCTGACACGTGCCCGACGCGTGTCCGTGTCCGACACGTGTCCGACACTGCATACCCTCTCTAAGTGCCGTGTCGGTGCATCATAGGTCCACATTAAAAGGAGCACGAAGGACTTCCGATGACCTGGTTAGGAAAGTTGAGGTATTAGATTTGACTTGTGTTAAGAAAGGTAGAGGTTGACCTAAAAAGACTTGGTTATAAAATATTAGAAATGATCTTTATTTGTTAGATTTAAATCAGAATTTGACTTTTAACATGACACAATGACGAAAAAGGATTCATGTAGCCGACCTCACGTAGTGGGACAAAGGCTTGATGATGTTGTTGTTGTTGTTTAGTTGTTGTGTACTAGAAAGCCGTTTTAGTAAGCAGTACGAAAAATGTCCCAAACAAAACCTTAATCTTGCATTTGACGATAAGAACATAGAAAATTAATATTGCGGATAATATATATATATATATATATATATTTCCCACATATCAGGATAGTGCTCTATTCCTATATGTATTTCGTGTGTATGAGTGTTAAGTGTTTGCCAATTAATTTAAAATATAATTGCCATTAGTACGCAAAGGTTGAGACTTTAACGATGGACTGCTGCTCATTAGGTGCCAACCATCTTTAATTTGTTATTATTATTCTTTCATTTTCAAGTATTCTCGTTGTTAGCATTTCACCAACCATGTATTATTTGCATGACGGTATCTTTGCTGTGAAACCAACTGCAGGATCCTTGGAAAACCACCCTTCTGCTGCGCGCAAAGACTGCACTGAAAGCTAATGAAGATAATCTCACTTAATTTCCAGATTGAAGGTTTGAGTGAGCTATTTGAGCTATATTTTTGAATCTTTATGGAACTTATAACCATTTAATCAGCAAGGTTCAACATTCAGTGGAACCAGCTTTGATATATATTTTTGAATGTTCATATTTGAGAGTTTTGATTCATTCTTTGTGACATCTTGCCCCATTTAAGAACTGTTATGACAACTTAAGTGACACTAAGGCTTCGTTTGGGATGACTTTCTTCCTGCTTCTTAAAATTTTTGTACTGAAAAATTACTTTAAGAAGCAGCAAGAAAGCCGTACCAAATGAAGTTTTAGGCTTTATTTGAGACAATTTTTGTTCGCTATTTTTTGTTGCATTCAATAATTTTTTAATTGAAAATCAGCTGTGAAAAACACTAAGAAAGTTGTTTCAAATAAAACTTAGGTTTTGTTTGAGATAGTTTTTTTAATACTTTCTAAAATATTTTTAATACAAAATTTTAGTTCAAAAAATAGTTATTAAAAAACTATTTTAAAAAATAATAAGAAAATTATAACAAATGAAGCCTTCATCTAACGGTAACTCTGATTCATTTCTTTATATTTGTTTTTGATAATGGTCATTTCTCTCGAAAACTTGACAATGCATCTCTCTCTTAATGTATTCTTTTAGCTATGTCATGTTAGGTGATAGACCTCTTCTAAAACATATAATTTATTTTTAGATAATAATAATGAAATTAAAAAGTAATTAATTCTTACATAAGAATAAAGGCTAATTCAATTCATTTTAAAGCTAAATAATATTGAGTTTGATTGCTTATTATGTCAGAGTTATTGAAACAATATCCTAATAAATCTCTCTCACAAACAAGTAATATGTCAATTTGTATTCTAATGTTTTTGTAACTCTAAAAAACAAAGTCTTTAAAGCATCAATGGAATGATTACTCTACAACCACATAAAGCCCAAATAATATTTTAAATTATTTTACGGATATTTTGGCTTTGTTTGGTACAGTTTTTTGCTACTTTATAAAATTACTTTTTAGTACAAAATTTTTTGATTCAAGATATTTTTGTACTAAAAAATAGTTTTAGAAAGCAATTAAAAAGCTGCCCCAAATGAAGTCTTAGATCAATTAAGACAAATTTACAAGCATAACTTCGTATATATAAGACTCAAATTTAAGATCTTTTCGTCATAGCCAAAGCTTTCAAGTATCAGACAAAGGTGAAAAAACTTTGGGTGAGAGCATTGAAGCACATAACAACATTACAGAGAATATATTAATAGTGAAAGTGACCATTCACCAAACTTTATCATCACTTTCCTCATTAATGTTTGTCTTTCATTATATGTTAGCTTCAATTATAGCCATGAAGCTAATCTTTTCCACCTTTTCAAGTTATGATACTCCAAAAAAAGTGAGATTGAAGCAGCTCCACTCAATCTTTCACATTCTGATATAGAGAGTCAATAAATTATTTTTATTTTCATGATAATGATTGCACCCTCTAGTCACTTAAACTTATTTTTATTATATTATCTTTAATAGATAATAATTCCAATATTGCTACAATATATTAATAATTATAAATTAAAGAAACATCACAAATGTGGGGTGGTGGCGCAGTTGGCTAGCGCGTAGGTCTCATAGCATCTGAGTTATCCTGAGGTCGAGAGTTCGAGCCTCTCTCACCCCAAACGTTTTCTATTTTTCTCCTTTTGCAATTTTTTTATATTCGATATGAATATATTTGCATTTTCAAAATTAATTTATAAAATAAGCAATCAATTCAATAATAAAACTTCTACCATAATATAAAGAAGTTATTTATATTTTTGATAAAAAAATTTATAAGCAAAAATAATTATTTTTGATTTTTTTTAATTAATTATTTTTGAATATTGGTAATAATTATTGACATTAGAGTGGGATTGTGACTTTATATTATACTCATTTTTATGGAATTAGGTAAGTCTTATATGATGTCTAGAAGTTTTCTATCGTGATTTTAAATGTTCAATGGAAGTTCAATCAGACTCAAATTCATATGATTTCATTGAAATTTTATCGTCGATTCATACCACTCTGATTATAACCCAGCGAACTAGAGAGTATATGTATTTTTAAAAATGATTAAAAAAGTTTATGATCCAATATTTAAATATTCCAAAATCTAAAAATTACATAAAAATCTTACTAAGTTAATTATATCAATTAATTGTATCAATTGGGGAAAAAGTGCAACATAACTCATCTCGATCTATTTTTTTGAAATTTTAATCGTCAATTAAGATATCTTGAATTTAAAATTTTCATATGTGAGTTATGTATAAAATGTGATTTAATTGACCTAAGTGTAAAAGGTTAGAGTGCGACTTGAAAATTATCAAATGTTCCTCTTATAATTGAGAATTTAAAAGAAAAAATTATTTTTTAATGAATGGTAATAATTATTGACATTAGATTAGGATTGTGACTTTATATTATACTCATTTTTATGGAATTGGTTACGTCTTATATGATCTCTAGAAGTTTTCTATCGTGATTTTAAATGTTCGATGGAAGTTCAATCAGCCTCAAATTCATATGATTTCATTGAAATTTATTGTCGAGTGATACCGCTCCGATTATAACCCAACGAAGTAGAGAGTATATGCATTTAAAAAATGATTAAAGAAAATTTATGATCCAATATTTAAATATTCTAAAATCTAAAAATTACATAAAAATCTTACTAAGCTAATTATATTAATAAATTTTATCAATTGGGGACAAAGTGCAACGTAGCTCATATTGATCTATTGTTCGAAAATTTTAACCGTTAATTAAGAGATCAAGCAGAAGAATTATTCTATGCGGAGATCGAAAGCGGAACATCGTTCGGAGATCAAGCAGAATGCACCAAGTCAGTGGTATCGAGCTGCAGTACCGAGCACAAAAGTGATGTGATGCATTCTGATCGGTCTCCGGCGTTCGAGTACAATAATTAATCCTTATAAATGCACCTACTTTTGGATAAAAAAATTCAGAATTAAACAGATATAATTATCAAAATTAGCTGTATTTTCACAATTGCCCTAAGCCCAAAGTAGCAGACTAGCAGTAGTTGGAGGGAGGGATTGCCATTCGTGAGCAGCATTAAGGAAAGGCATAGCTGTCCTCGAAGAAGTGTTAATTAAAAAAAAAATTGTTTGAAATAATTTTTTTTACCTTTATTCAATAAAAATAAGATTAAAATTTAGAAAGATTTATATACCTGTTACAAAATTCTTATATATTTAATATCTACATTTTTTTGTTTTTTTATATGACATTTAAATATTATAAAAAAATCATTAATATTACCAAATTTTAAGTAATATATACATCTTTTTTATTATTGTATGTTAAAATATTTACAGTGATAGAATTAAAGAATTTATTATCTTAATATAATGTGAAGATTTGATACACACTGATTAGATGGTCATTAGTCGAAAGATGGTAGTAAGACAGCATTAATCAGAGTATTGTAGTCGAACGATAATGATCGGAAGGCAAATCATTTATAAATATAATTTGATGCAATTTAAATATATATATTATGACATATATATAAATCAACTAAAAATTAGTATATGCTTTTATTATTACATTTAATATCTGACTATAATTTACTAATATAAAATTATGATATCAATCCAATGATCAACTTATCCTCTATCTGATGAAAATTGAAAATTAACATATCTATTTTGAGATTAATTACATACGTAATAATTAAATATTAGCTATTTACAAAAGTATCATCATCCTATATTTATTTTTTAAATTAACATTCAAATATCAAAATTCATGATAAAATCCTAATCCATATTTTTTAATTTTATCAAATTCTCAATCATTTAATGTTGCCGTTCACAAATATATAAATTTGATAGATTCAATAAAATTTCTTAACGAAATAAAATTTAAAATCAAATAATTTTTAGGATTATTTTAATATAATTTGTATGCAAATATTCTGTCATTATTCTTTTATAGAAATAAAAAAATAGGGGGTATATATCAGCAGTGCAGCAGATTTCGGCCGAACCGAACCGACAGCCCATTAAGCTCGCCTGCTTTGGATAACAGAAAGGTTATTTCCGTCAAACGGATTTTTATTTCCGTCAAACGGCTATTAATTATTTCCCTTTGTTCCCCCTTCCTCCTTCTTACCATCCCGTAAAGAACAAGAGCGGGAGAGAGAGAGAGCGCGCGGGCGCGCAAGCTCTGAGAGAGGAGAGAGGAGCAGCTACACTGTAGGTGATACTATCAGTGGTCGAGATCGTGGAGACCTGCAACCTCCTTCGACCTTTCTCTTCTTTTCTTGCTCCCATCCTCCCAGCTTTTCGAGAATCGCGCTACTTTCCCTTTTGAGATCTCTCATTGCGTCTTTTTGTTGAAGGTCTTCTCCCTTTGCCTTCCTGAAGCTTCCCTACTCCTTTGCAAACCTTGATCGTGTAAGCGGATACAATGCTGTCATCCAAATCCAAGTAAGCTAGCTCTTTCCCCGGATCTGATCTTTTGTTTCTTGGTTGAAAATTGCATCTGAGTTCTTGTTTTTGTGTTTATGTTTGTTTTGATTTATAGTTGCAATGGTTTATGAATTTGGCTTCTAATTTGCTTTCTTGGTCGGTTAAGATAGATCTCTTCGTGGCGAATGTTTAAGTAGAAGTCTGTAGTGGGTTTTGGTTCTATTTGTTCTATCTTGTGAGTGCCGCCAATTTTTTTTTTCTTTTTATGGTTGAATTCTGAGACTTGGATCTTGGGCAGATCTGGCTTGGCTGATGCTGCCAACAACAAAAATACGCCAGTTAGCAAAATGGGTAAGCAGGGATCTGTTGTGCTGGACGCTGATTCCCCTTCTGCGCAGAAAAAACCTAGTTTTCCAATTGATCTTTCTCCGAGATCTGCAGATTCAAAGCTAGTGGCTAACCGCAGATCGCCGAAAGGCAGTAATACTCCCGATGTAAGTAAGCCTGCAACTTTAATAAGATTTCTTCGTGAAAGTGTGTAATTTTATCTCTTCATTAGTGTATTAATTTGGTTTGTGATTTATAGAAACAGTCACGGCTATTAAAGGGGTCAGAACTTCAGGCGCAGCTTATTGCAGTGCAGGAGGATCTCAAAAGTGCGAAGGAACAATTAGCCATGGAAGAGAAAGAGAAAACCCGGGTTCTTGAGGAGCTGAGTGATGTCAAGAAAGCAGTGGAAGAGGTGAACGACAAGCTTGCAGAGACTCTATTAGCTCAGAAGAAAGCTGAGGAGAGTTCGGAGCTTGACAAGTTTCGTGCAGATGAGCTGGAGCAATCAGCCATTGAAGCTGCTCATAAGAGGGAGAGAGAATGGAACAAAGAGCTTGAAGATATCCGAAAACGGCATGCTGTTGATGTTGCAGCACTGCTTTCTGTGACTGAGGAGCTTCAAACAGCAAAGCATGAGCTGACGATGGCCATTGATGCGAAGAATACTGCCCTGAGTCATGCAGAGGATGCAATGAAGATTGCAGAGGTTAATGCAGAGAAGGTGGAAATTCTTTCTGGAGAAATCAATCGCTTGCAATCCTTACTTGACTCGAAGCTTGAGAGCAAGTCCATTGAAACAGCAGAGCTGATCAAGAAGTTGGGTTTAGAAGTTGATTATTTGAAGCTTGAACTTGAGGAGGCAAAGCTAGCTGAAGAAAAGTTGGTTGAGATGGAAGCCTTGGCTGAAGGGCTCAAGATTGAACTAACAGATGCAAAGAGGGCTGAGTCTGATGCAGTTGGTCTTGTAGACGAGTTGAAAAAGAAGGCTGAGTCGTTAGAATCTAGCTTGGAGGAAGTAAAACACTCTGAAAATTTGGTGCAGGATTCTCTTGCTTCTTTGACAAAGCAGGTAGAAGAGAGCAAATCTATGCTAGATGACACAGAATCTGAAGTTATATCGCTTAGAGGGAAGGTTGAAGCATTACAGCTTGAAGTTGCTAGGCATAAAGCAGATCATGAAATTTCTGATAAACAGCTTGATTTAGCAAAGAAGGAAGTGTTGGATCTGGAAAATACAGTTGAAATCTTGAAGATTGAGATCCAGACGGTGGAGGAGGAGAAGGCCCAGGCATTGAGCAATGAGAAGCTCACAATTTCAACCGTTGAAAGCCTCACTCAGGAAAACAGTAAGCTGTCCACTGAGCTGGAGATTACTAAACAGGATTCAGAGAAAGCTAAGAAAGCCATGGAAGGTTTGGCGTCAGCATTGCATGAGGTGTCCTTAGAAGCGAGGGACATACAAGAAAGGCTCTTGATCAAGCAAGCTGAGGTTGATAGTGTCACAACTGAGGCAGATGAACTAAAATTGGCCCTCAAAAACACCCAGGAAAAATATGAGGTCATGCTTGATGAAGCCAAATATGAGATTGTATGTCTTAAAAAGACCATTAACAAGTCTGAAACAGAAGCAAGGGACTTGATGGATGAATGGAATGAGAAGGAGATTAATCTGAGAAATGCCATTAAGAATGCGGATGATGAAATTGTTTCAATCAAGCAAGAGAGGGATAAAGCCGTGGAGACACTTGAGAGGAAAAAATGTGAAGTAAAAGCAGCTGAGGAAGAAGCAAACAAGCTTCATGATAAGTTGAAGCAAGCTGAATCCGAGTTATTTGCAGCCAATGATGCTATTGTAGAAGCAAAAGCTGAGAGTAGCGGCTTAAAAGAAAGATTGTTGGATAAAGAAAATGAGCTGCAAAGCATCACTCAGGAGAATGATGATCTCCTGCTTCGGGACACTGCTGCTTCAGAAAAAATTAAAGAACTCTCCGAATCACTCGCAAAGGTCTCATCAGAGAAAGTAAATGCCGATCATGTTGAAAATGGAGAGCTTTATAGCAACGATAAAAACTACAAAACACTTCCTAAGATGATAGAAGTGAGGGAAGATAAAGTTGATGACACTGAAAAAACATATTCAGAAGTTCCATCAGAAGAATCTGAGGAATATTTTAAGGATGGCAAGAACAACCTAGAGGAGAATGGCAGTAAAAATGCAGAGGAATGGGATGTGATAAAGATAAAGCCCAAGATTTTTGAAGGTGAAATCATGGATAAATTACTACCCACTGAAATGGAGCGTTTTGATGAGTCGGATGCAAAGATTGATGGAAATGAACTGGATCAGATGAATTTGGAAGGTGCACAGAATGGAAACACTTCACCGACTAAGCAAATGCAATTGCAGAAGAAAAAGAAGGCTTTGCTGCACAGATTTGGTAGCCTTCTAAAGAAGAAGAATACTCCCAAATAGCATTTCTGCATCTCCATTTCTTTTTTTTGCGTTGCGTTTTTTAAATATTCCTTAAAGTTGTGATAAAATCATTTTCATGGCTGATGATGTTTGTCAAATGTCTTAAAATTTGTGCATTTTTGTTTGTTGCGCAATCCAAATTCTAATTCAGTATGTTATTTGTGATGGCTTAATGTTGTTCTCTGTTCTTATGTTTGATCAGTGCGCTCTATTTGTGTATATGCGCACAGATCTTGTTGTTGATATTGCAAATGATGGAAAAATTATAGTAATGTTGTTGATTGTCACTGAATGTTGAGTCAAATAATGTTGACAAGTTCAAGCCATCATAGATGAACCCAACCTAGTTGTGCTAGTATCTTCATGATAAAAGAAAAATTGAAATGAAATTCAGATGCAATTATTTTAACATAAAATCAAGAGCATTCAAGTCATCTTGAGGTGAATTGTGTAACATCCCAAATTCTTGATCATTTAAATGTTGTTTGATTTGGCCTGGTGCCTCACAATTTTGTCTCGTTGGTGTAATTTTTCAAGAGGTCATTATGAAACCTCTCACAAAAATAAAGTCAAACTTTTAAACGTCGAATTTTATTAAAAAGTTCAAAATAAAATGTGATTGTATAAAAGCACTCAAAGGATGTATGATTTTTTGGGAAGTTACACTAATGGGATAAATTCATGAGACTATTAGGATAAAATGAATAATATCTCAATAGTTGAGAGTTTAGACTGTTACAATCACCCGTCTTAACACTGCTTTTGTACGAGTGCTCTTAATATTGGAGTTTCTACTAAAATTCTTACGCCTAAAAATGTGTCAATATTTAAAAGTTCAATTTTATGTTCTTTTAGATGGTTTAAAAAATTGTCATGGGGGATTTACATACATACCACTTTATTTCATGCTATTTACATATCTAACACCCAAAATATTAATATTACATGCCTATCACCCATATATAATTTTGATAAGGTACAAACTATATGAAGTTACCCATAAGCACTATACTAATTAAGCATCATTAGCTGTTTAATTAAAGCTAATTAGAATAATTGTATACAAAGAATATTAAGCAATTATAGGGTGGCTCAAATCATATTGGATGGCTAAATACCAACAGATGCATGTGAATGTGTCAACAACACCTGTAGAATTTGGATGAGGCTAAGGATGTGTGCTGGATGAAAGAGATAGACAGGCATGCAAGTGGTTCTGCAACAAATTTGGGACTGAGAATAAGGGAGCCATTAGAATGCTGAAAGAGAAAGAGAGAGATTTTAGAGAGAGAAAGATGAATGGATAAGTCAATGAATAAGTTTGCTCATTTAACAAAAAAAAGTTATTCATGGAATATGCTAGTTACTTCTAACATTGTGTGCTCACAGTAAAGAAATAAAATGGTCCCTCAAAAAAAAAAAAAAAAAAAGAGGCTCGCAATTAGGGATGTCAATTTTGGGTCACGGGTTGGGCTCGGGTCAAACCCAGAATGAACCCGACACTATTCGGTCAACCAAACCGGCCTATTTTTACAAACGGTCGATTTTTCGGACCCGAACTGACCCTCTTCGGTCTAGATCAACCCAACACAACCCAAAGACCCGAGGCTGATAAAAAATAGGACAATTTTTTTTTCGGATAAAAGATGGGTCAATCTCGAGTTTCGGGTCAAAACAGGTTTCCGCGTCAAAAACAGGTAAAAATGTTCAATTTTGGTTTCGGGTCAACCCGAACTCAACCTAGTTTTTGAAATGGAATCGATTTACTGAGCATTTTCAGGTTCGGGGTTGACCCTAACTCGAAAATTTTTTGGTCGGGTTTTCGGGTCGGGTCTAATATTGACACCCCTCAGCCTTCACAAGTGAACCCCATACATAGGTTTCCTTAATTTGTTGTTGAAGCTTCTACTATTACCGAGATGTCTTAGATTTGATGCTATGTATGTGATGGTGTGTGACTTTATCTTAATGACTCAATTATCCAACCCCCTAAAAAAAAGGTGAACAATACATTTTTTGGTGTTTAAGGGTTACTAAGTGGCAAACAAAGAAGTTGTCTCCTTGCTTAACTCTACCCAAGAAACAAATTTTTTAAGTTTTATATATATATATAATATAATATATATATATATATAATATATAAAATATATATATTATAATATTTTATAATAATAATATATATATATATATAATATATATATATATCTAAATAAATATTTTATAACTAAATTTATAATTTTATATATTTATTTAATTTTAAGATAGTCTTTAGATGCAAATTTGGTCACATAAAAATGTAGTTCAAATTAAGATTAGGAGAGTAGACTATATTAGATTAATTACTTATGGTAAAAAACAGATTGAGCTAGACCTATATATCGGTTAAAAAATTATGTTTAGAAAGTAATAAAAAATAAAAATTTTTATAAGATAAATGAGAATTAATTTTTAATATTGAAAAATGGAGAATTTAAATTTAAGGATAAAGGTATGTTTATGTTGTCATGTGTATATTTTGTTATTTATATATTAAAAGGTGTATTAAGAAACTTTTTTTTTTTCTTTTAGGTAAGAACAGCTGGTGTAGGTGGAAACAGATTCGTTACTTTCCCATACGAAATCTCTCATCGTCTCGATTACTTATGATCTCGCCCCTTTAATCTACTGAATTTCGTCTCTTCTGCAATCTCTGATCCTGTAAGAGGATACAATGCGCTCTTCCAAATCAAAGTAAGCTGGCTCTGGCTCCAGATCTGATCTTCATTTGTTGATTTTGCTTTAATTTCTCTATTTTCTTGATTGAAATCCCCAAATAGTTCTTGTTTTATTTTAATTTACATCGAAAAGCATTTTTGGGGCTTCGTTTTGATTTACAGCCGTAATGCCATACGGGTTAGGTTTCTGCGATGCATTCTTGGTTGGTGGAGATCGATCTCATTGTAGTTGATCTTTAATTGAATCCCTATAGTTTGATTCTGTTCAATTATTTTAATCTTTTTCGATGCGCGAGTTATTTCTAAATGCTGTAATCTTGTAGTTTTGGCTTTTGATCCAAGTGTGCAATGTTCTTTCATTAGGTTAATTCTTGTTTTCGTTAAGAAATCTGATACCTGGATCTTGACCAGATCTGGCTTGTTCGATGTTGCAAACAACAAAAACATACTAGCTAGTAAAGTTGGCAGGCCTAGACCTGCTAAGCTGGACGTTGATTCTCCTCCTCCTTCACAGGAAAACACAAGTTTTTCAATTAATGGGTCGCCAAATTCATCAGATTCTAAACCAGTAGTTAGTCGCCGTTCAACAAAGATCAGTACTACTCCAGATGTTAGTAAATAATGCAACTTATAATAATATTTCTTCCATACGGTTTTAAATTGTTTCTTAGTCAATGTGCTGATGGGGTCTGTGATTTACAGAAATATTCACGTTTATTGAAAGGATCAGAGCTGCAACTGCAACTTTCTTCAGTGCAGGAGGATCTCAAAAAGGCAAAGGAACAGATAGCTTTTCAAGAGATAGATAGGGCCAATGTTCTGGAGGAGCTAAGTGATGCCAAGAAAGCAGTAGTGGAGGTGAGCGAGAAGCTTGGAGAGGCTTTACTATCTTTAAAGAAAGCTGAGGAGAGTTCTGAGCTTGAAAAGTTTCGCACAGAGGAATTGAAGCAAGCAGCAATTGAAGCTGCTCGGAAAAGAGAGGAAAATTTGCACAAAGAGCTTGAGGATATCAGTAATCAGCATGCTGTTGATGTCTCCGCACTGCTTTCTGCAACTCAGGAGCTTCAGAGGGTGAAGCAGGAGTTGGTAATGACCACTGATGCAAAGAACAGTGCACTTAAACAAGCAGATGAGACAACGAGGATTGCAGAGATCAAAGCTGAGAAGGTGGAAATTCTCTCTGGAGAAATCCACCGCCTTAAATCAGTACTTGAGTCTCAGCTTGAGAGCAAGTCCAATGAGACAGCACAGGTGATCAAGAAATTGGCTTCTGAGGCAGAAGCTTTGAAGCTTGAACTTTCGAGAGTAAAGGTTGATGAAGAGAAGTTGGTTGAGATGGAAGCGTTTGTTGAAGGGCTCAAGACTGAGCTGGCAGATGCAAAGAAGGCGGAGTCAGATGCAGTTGGTTTTGTGGATGAGTGGAAAAAGAAGACAGAGTTGTTAGAATCGTGCTTGCAGGAAGTGCAGCAATCTGAAAGGATGTTAAAGGATTCTCTTGCTTCTTTGACAAAACAGCTAAGAGAGAGGCATTCTATGCTTAATAATGCAGAATCTGAAGTTGTTTGTCTTAAGGGGAAGATCGAAGTATTGGAGCTTGAGGTAGAAAGGCATAAAGCAGATCTTGAAGAATCTGATCACCAACTTGAGTTAGCTAAGCAAGAAGTGCGGGATGTGGAAAAGACGGTTGAATTCTTAAAGTCCGAGATCGAGATCGGAAGAGAGGGAGAAGTGAAGGCACAGACAATGAACAATGAGAGGCTAAGAAGTTCTTATTTGGATAGTCTTACTCACATAAACAATAAGCTGGAAGTTGAGCTTGGGATTACTAGAGAGGATTCTGAGAAATCCAGGAAAGCAATGGAAGGCTTAGCATCCGCATTGCATGAAGTGTCCATGGAAGCCAGGGACATGCAAGAAAGGCTTTTGATAAAGCAAGCGGAGGTTGAGAGTACCACAGGTGAGTTGGACAGAGTACAATCAGCCCTCAAGATCACCCAGGAAACATTTGAGGCCATGCTTGATGAAGCCAAATACGAGATTGTTTGTCTCAAAAAGTCAATTGAGAAGTCTGAAACAGAAGCAAAAAACTTGAGAGCTGAATGGGATGCAAAGGAGATTAATCTGAGAACTGCCATTAAGAAAGCAGATGAAGAAATTGCTTCAATGAAGTTAGAGAGGCATCAAGACATGGAGAAACTTGAGAGGGAAAATTTTGATGCAAAAGCAGCCGTGGAAGAAGCAAACAAGCTTCATGATAAGATTAGGCAAGCTGAATCAGAGTTAATTGAAGCCAACAATGTCTTTGAAAAAGAAAAAGAGGAGAGTAAGTGCCTCAAAGAAAGATTGTTAGATAAAGAGAATGAGCTACAAAGAATCACTCAGGAGAATTATGAACTCAGGGCTCGTGAAACTGCTTCTTCAGAAAAAATTAAGGAACTCTCTGAATCACTGGCTAAGGTGTCATCCAAGAAGATCGAAGAAAATGGCGATGCAAGTCAAAACAAAGAATATGGATTAAACGGACTACTTTCCAACAATGGTAACGAACACACCATAATGCATAAGATGATTGTAGTCATGGATGATAAAGTTGATGAAACTGAAACAGAGAATTCAGAAGCACCATCAGAAGAAGCTTGGGAAGTGATTAAAGATGATAGAAAGCTAGATGAGAATGGAGCCGAAGGGCATCCTGTGCAGATAGAACCCAAGATTTATGAAGACGGTGGTGAAACCAGTGATAATAAAATGCTCTCTGAATCACCAAAGATTGATGATGGTAAGTTGGATCAGATAAATGGACGATTTGCACAGAATGGCAAGACTTCTGAAATTAAGCATCAGCTTCTACAAAAGAAAAAGAAGGCTTTACTAAACAAATTTGGGGATCTTCTAAAGAAGACTACTTCCAAATAGCATCACTGTATCATATTTTATTATTTGATTCTTCCCTTTCTGTGATTATTCAGATTGCCATATTTTTATAGATTGTGCCAATGGAGAAGCAAACAATATTGGAGTTGTGTGAAGAAACTGTGATTCTTTCTTGTTACTAAACCATATTCTAGGTCAGCTTCTCATCATTCTGTATTATTGTATTTTATATATTTGACATGCTATGTAAAATACATAACACTAATTCGGATTTATTGAAAATTTAATATTTATTTACATTGCATTTCTTCTAGTATATCTCATTGGAATCCCATACCAATATTAGCATCAGTAGAATTTTATACTGCAACCATTGTGAAGGACATGATGATGATTAGTATTACTGGTAAGGGTACACTGACGGTATATGTAATTAATTTAGATGTTCATAAAGATGGCTGTAGATTTAATATTTTTTCTGATCCTATAAAATTCGAACAACAACATCATCAACAACATCAAACTTTTATCCCACTATATAGGGTCAGCTACATGAATCTTTTTTCTCCATTGTGACATGCTAAGAGTCAAATTCTTATTTAAATTTAATAAGACAAGGTCATTCTAATGTTTTCTAGTTTTTTAGGCCTACCTATATATTTCTTAACATAGGTCAAATCCAATACATCTACTCTCCTAATCGGGTCATCGGAAGGCCAACATTTTATGTGTCGAAATCATTTGAGGAGACTTTCTCTAATTTTATTTGCCACTGGAGCTACTCCAACACTTTCACGTACATACTCATTTTGCATTTTGTCTCCAAGAGTGAAGCCACTCATCTATATAACACTTAACTTTATGCTTCTCTTTTAACAACTAATATTTTGTATCACAAAGCATTGCAGGTCTCACCAAATTTTCTTTTAGTTTGAGAGGTACTTTTTTTATCACACAATATGCCCAATGCATTCCTCCACTTCAACCATCCAACTTGAATTCCACTAATAATATCCTTATCTATTTCACCGTTAATTTGAACAATAGATTCAATATGTCTATAACATATACTCTTATTAATAACTTGATCTCCCGAAGTAGCAATCCCATCAGAACTATTACTACTAAAATTATACTTCATTATTGGGTTTTATATCTACTCAAACAAAAACCTTTAGACTCTAAATTTGACCTCCATAATTCAAGTTTTCTTTCAACTCTCTCACTAGTCTTAACAACAAGAAGAATATCATCAGCAAAAAGCATACATAAAGTATTTCAGCTTTTTCCGGTTTAATAGTTCGATGGTTGAATATTTTATTCTCTATTGATTTTTATTATGTTGTCAACTATATAATTGCTCCATTTAAATTTAGATAAAGGCTCATTTACTTTACTGACAATCTTATTGGTGGATTCAAATTTGATCGTGAGCAACACTGAATCTTGCTAGCAAAACTAGATAGAGCTAGCGAGTAACAATCGAAATAGGTGAGTATGGAGGGTGGCTAGGAAATCATACAATTCTTGGGAATAGTAAAAATGAGATAAGGTCAACAAATTAAAAGGATTATAAGAAAAGGCCACACCAAGAAAATATAGAAAATTAATATATTATTAGACAAATACAGACTAATACAGACATATGGAGTACACCATCATATATACACATGAACATCTATCTATGACATTTGAGATGTCTTTGGCGAGTGCCCTATATGGGCGGTGAGCTCTCAGGAACAAGTGCCTCTAGCAAGTCCTAGAGGACCAATGCTTCGAATGGGCCCTTAGAATGGATACCTATGGCGAGTCTTAAGGGAGAGTGCCTTGAACATGTCTTTCATGATAAACACCATGAGTGAGTCCTTAGAGATGAATATCTTGGATGAATGGTGAGTTCCACTGTGCAAGAGAGTCAGAGACAAGTCTTTTAAGTGAGTTTGGTTATGAAATAGGTGCCCTCATAGGGCGAGTGTTTCTCCGAATGAAGGTATGCAAAGGTGAGTCCTTCGGTCGAACTTATTCGAAACACTAGTATCCTTAGTCGCAATCTCTTATAAAATGATTTTCACCTGTGCAAATGGTTGACCATCCCCAACCTTTCTCCAGCAAATGCTCATTTGGGCGAGGCTCATTTTGAGAAAGTGCACCTATTAATCGATCTCATTGGAGGCATAAATACTTTGCACATATATGTTACCTATATCGACATGTATAGATATACACTTATCATCCATAACATTTTGCTCATCAAATCATTTCAAAATGATGCAATCTATCAGTTTATAATTCAACAAGAATTTGTTATCATTCTTAGTCATATGCTACCACAAAATATATTTAAAATGAAAAAAAAATGATTGAAGATATTCTAATCAATATTTTAATTAGGATGTGTTTGAAATCCAATTATATTTATTTGAGAACAATGCAATATGAGTTTTAATTGATTTATTATGAATTACATTCAAAATTTAATGACTTTGAGATGTATCTAAATCAAAATTTTTATCATTATTATTTCTTGCTAGAAAATTCTAGGCGGTATAGAAAATTTTTACATCTTAGCTTTGTACATATATCCAAAAATATCAAAAAAGAATGCAATTGACACTAGAATTTTTACGTATAATATTCATATAGAAAAAAAATCATGGATCTTGGTTTAGATGAGATGATTCACTGTGTCGGATATGTTATAAGAATTCACTTTTCCCATCATTTGGAGAAGATAAGATTATAAACTATGTAATACAAGTTTACCTTTCTACTACAAATGTGAGGGAAAATGCAAGATATGTGGCAATTGGATGTTGTTAATAAGACGACAATGTCAAATAATGATGGTCATGTGACAACAATTGTGTAGTAATGATGAAGTCATAGTAATTAGATAATGTTGGTCATACAAAAATAAATGAATTGTGAGAGTCAGGTGGTTGTGATTATAAGATGATAATCATGGGACGACAATGACGTGACGATAGTGGGAGGATAGTAGTTAGATGACGGCAGTCAGGTGACCATGCTAGCTAATGGTGATTGTCAGTTTCTAACATCATTTAGAGTTCTAGAATTCTTCATAACTCCAAGCTCTCTCTAAACTAAGTCTAGGCCCCCTTCATGTGACAAATTGAGGAGGGTCATTTTTATAAATTTGACCAACATTCCATAACACTCTATTAAACGGCTAATATTCAATCTTAGTATCATTGAGTTTGTCTTACCAAGGAGCAATTATTACGTCCGGTCAAATCTGAACGTATCCGAATGTATACCGAACAATACCGAGTGCTCAATAGTCAATACCGAGTTTTAGGTGACGTGGCGCGTGATTATTGGTCTATGAATGCATTCGGTGACCGGACGTAATAATTGCTCCTTATCAAGACCTTCAGTTAGAGTTCATATATCTAATATAAACAATACATTGAGAATCATGATGATGATAATCATGGGACGACAATGACGTGACGATAGTGGGAGGATAGTAGTTAGATGACGGCAGTCAGGTGACCATGCTAGCTAATGGTGATTGTCAGTTTCTAACATCATTTAGAGTTCTAGAATTCTTCATAACTCCAAGCTCTCTCTAAACTAAGTCTAGGCCCCCTTCATGTGGCAAATTGATGAGGGTCTTTTTTATAAATTTGACCAACATTCCATAACACCATCAAACGGCTAATATTCAATCTTAGTATCATTGAGTTTGTCTTATCAAGACCTTTAGATATCTAATATAAACAATACATTGAGAATCATGATGGTCAAATAAATTTTCACGCGGCATATCAATTGTATCATATTCCAACCCAAAATTTTTCTATTGATAATTTGATTCTCTCTTTAATTTTGGACCTTTGGTCATAATCCAAAGAATTATTCACATGAAGAAATCAATAAAATCATAAATTGCTTACATTTAGTAACCCCTTTGAGTTAAACCTATCAAGTGTCTTGTGGACCTAAAATTATTATTCTTTGGACACAATGATATACGTGGGGCTCATAACACATTATTAAGAGTACCACTACATAAAAAATATTAAGTCTCAGAGGCCACATTATTTAAAGTATGGCGATGGTCTTCTCACTAGGCTTTTTCAGTCTCAAGAGGCCAATCTAGTGGCCCTCGAGCCCCTGATGATGATCGCATGGCTACAAACAGATCATTCTCCTTTATTTCAAGTTTAGATTACAAGAAAATGAATCAATTACAGTCCATTTCCTTCAGAAATTTGCCTCGACCAAGAACAAGAATTCTCTCATTCAGAGAGATCTCTCTCATTTCATAATCTTCCTGAACATATTTCATTCCTTAAGCCTCTTTCTCTGCTACTAATACTCTGCAAACCGAACCAGTGGAATAAATTAAAAAAAAAAGAGGATAAAAACACCATTGGAAACTACAATTTGCCTCCTTGCACATATCAAAACAAGAGAAGGCTCGCTAAACCTGTAAATTGAATTATAAATACAATACTTGCCTATTCTGCTACTTGCAATCCATCTCTATATTCCAACAGCAACTTATTTAATTTCTTACTGTGTATCCTCCCCTGAATCACTCCCAGCCCATCACTGCATCACAAAGCATATTTTAAGAATATATCATCAGACCAAGGCTTCGTTTGGGACGTCTTTCTTACTGCTTCTTAAAGCGACTTTTTAGTAACCGCTTTAAGAAGCAGAAAGAAAACTATCCCCAAACGAAGCCCAAGACTTACGTCAGACAATGAAACTAATTACATTCTTACTTGTACCTGGGAGGAGGACTTGGTCCGGGGGAGAGCATCTGAGCAAGGTTGATGGCGTCTTTTGGGTGACAGATTGTGTGGTTGAAGCATAGGTAACGGCCATAGGCGTCCGGGTTTTCGAAGACGCAGATATGAGCATCAACAAGGAACTTGAGCTTCACTGTCACCAATACCCCATCTTCGTACATCTCGGGTGCGCCCTTTAGATATGGATTCGCCGACGAGAGCTCAGGCCCGGCAAGGATAAGTCCGGCATTCACCGCCACCATATCAACCCCTCGGTCCATTGCCAATGCCCATGCCGTCTTCTCTGAGAGTGTCTTTGCCAGAGCATGCCATAGCTACCATTGACGGTTAAATCTGTTAGCACTGGAATTATAGTCTTGGATGGAATACATAGATTCGTGATGAGGAAATTAGGAGCTTTGGTGTACGAAAAAAACATTATAACTGTTCATTCAAAGTTCTAAAAATAGGTCATAGAAAGGAAAGTAAAATGCAAAATGAAGTAGCATAAAGATAGCATTGGTGAATAATCTCACATCATCATTGAAATAAAATAAATAATTTTGTTAATATATTAGTAATGCCGTTTTTTATTGACTTTAGCTTTTTTGTTGATGGATGTATAGAGCTCAATTTGAGCCCCTACTCTGTTCTTCTAACAAGCAATTTTAAAATTAGCTTTTATTTGAGGATGTCGAGGATTATCACCAAGCAGCTTATCTAAGATTGAGTGGGCGCTTCGTGGGGTTTATTTTATAAAGAAGCAGATTAATCGTCAGAATTAGCAAAGGAGCGTGCTCATTAAAAAATTTAAAAAAAGAGCAAATTCGTCAAATGAAATAGCCATTCAAAATGCGACAAAAGAAATAATGCATTTTGAATGCGTCATTTCGTTTGGTGCATTCAACTCAAAGAGAGAGAAAGTCTACTAGAGAGAGAGAGACGGAGGAGAGAAATGGCGGGAAAGAAAGAGGGAGAGGGAAGAGGGTGGAAGGGAGAAAAACTTTGGGTAAGAATGAATCTTAATTTTTGGGCTTACTTTGAGATTAGTGTAATATATAAGCAATCAATCAAAACTTATGTTACTCTCATCTAAAACTAAATCAAGCTTCTTTCAAGCCCATCCTAATTAAAAAAAAAAAAAAATTTCAAATTTCTGTAAGGAACATCTTATCTCTGTAAAATTCTTAATTAACTGGGATGAATAAGATGGTTTTTCCCAAAGCCTTAAAAATTTGTGGAGGAAAATTTACTAATATCTCAAAACCCTTTGGTGGTTCAACAATATGACCTAATTTCCAACTCCTTATTGGTAACAATACGATTCTCCTTCTTATTTAAAAAAGACATGCCTCATTTGATAACTGGCGTTGTGCAGCAAGCCACTTAGCCACGTCCATTTCTTTGACAGTTCAACCAATATCTTAAACAAGAAAGCGAAGACGTGAGATGTATGCCATTGATTAAGGCCAAAGCACCATTCTATATCCTTCCATTAATATCCAACTTTCAACAACTAATATTAAATGCTTTAGAAAATCAAGTCTCAGCTCAGCATTTAACCATTTCTTCCGGCAATTAATTATATAAAAATTACATACATACCACTTTATATCATGCTATTTACATATCTAACATTCAAAATTTTATTATTTCATGTCTACCATCTAGAGGCGGGACCAGACTTAATTTTTAGGGGAGGCAAACTTATAAGTAACTCTCGCGTGTCCGTGGGGTTCGACCTAAGGGCAATTGAACTTTTTGCCCCCTGAGTTCAAGGGGAGTTCACCCTTGCTGCCGTCAATAGACAACTTTAATATCAAATATGTCAATACTATATTTCATTCCTACTGCTCATACTATCCTATAAACTTTAATATTTCATTCCTTGCATCCATACTTGATCTATTGGTGGTGGGCACGAAATATTAAAGTTTTAGGTGTTAGATATATAAATAGTATGATATAAAGCGGTATGTATGAAATGACTTAAATTACATAAGCAATTCGGAGATTCGTTTACCTTAAATTTTCGGCAGAAATTAGGGTCGCTCCAATCTCTCTCATCAACATCCTCTGTAACTTTGAGTTTCTCATTCCATATGAGTGCAGTAACTGAGGATGTGAAGACCACCCTCTCTATGGTGTCAGCCTGCGCACACGCTTCCAGTACATTATGTGCAGCCCTCAGCTCTATTTCTACCATGAACTCCTGCACCATTGTTCATCATTTACATTTCTTGAATAAAACTGCCAAATTACTAATTTTATCGCATAGAATCGTAAAGTACGATTCACGGTGGATGATTTGATTGATCGATCACACATCTACGTCGTCTCTGCGCACAAATCTAAAGGGCGGCCATTAATCGTCGGAGATCGAACTTACATCGTAAGACGACTCGTCGTCGAAGGTGTAGAATAAGCCGGAACATCCTCGGATTGCTTCGGCGATGCTGTTGTAATCCAAGGGATCAGCTCTGAAAACCCTCACTCGCTTGTTCTCGCTCCAGGCCGCCTTCGTCGCATCACCTGCGCATGCACGCCAACTGTTCGATCAATCGCCTTAAACGAATACAGCAGCTTAACAGACAAAAAAACAGAAAGGAGTCCGAACCACGAGCGAAGGCAGCGGCGTGGACGGTGTAACCACGGTGAAGAAGGCGGTCGACAAGGGCGACGCCAAGGCGGTTGGATGAGTCCATGACGCAGACGGTCTTCGTTGTGTGGCGTGCGATTGCAGCAGGAGCCATGGATGAGTTTGCAGAGAGGCAGAAAGGGGGAAGGACGGCTGGTTGGAGATGGCGGAGAGAGTATATTTATGTATAGGTGGGAGGAAGAGTGTGGAGGAAGAGAGTTGGGGTAATGGAGGTTGCCGGTTAGCTGAATTCCACATGGGCGGAGGTAGATTGGTGAGAGAGACGGAGATTTGTTGAAGAGGAGGCACGGGGCAGCGGTTTGGTAGTATTTGTGGTTAACATGCGCGTGCGTGGCAAATGTTTATTTTATTAGAAAGATTTGAAGTCAATAAGATCGCATCAAATTTTGATATTTTCCACTTTTGTGACTTCTTGATTTGTGATTTTATTTTATTTGGGATAATTTTTTGCTGTTTTTAAATTAATTTTTTAGCAAAAAAAATTTTTATATTGAAAATTTTTGCATTAAAAAGTAATAAAAAATTTATTCCAAATGAAGTCGTAACTTTCTTATCAATCATATTGACTATCTCTGCCACAATTTTTACTAAATAAGAGATTATTCTATGCAGACGCCGAACGCAGCTTTACATCTGGATATCAACCAGAATGAGCTACGCCAGCGATATCGGGGCGCAATACCGAGCGATAACGAGCCTCAGTATTGTGGTACCGAGCCGTGGCCTTAGATATCCGGACGGAGTTCGACTTCCGCACAGAATAATTTTTCTCGCCGGACACCCTAGATTCACTGCCCTCATATGTCCTAGTTTTTTTTTTTTTTTTTTTTAAGTTTTAGATTAACTTTTGTTAGTTCCAACCAAACATAAACAATTGTCCATGAATTTGAACCATATTTAAAATTCTTTTAAATTTTGAATGATTGCAACTAAACAACTCTTATATATATTGTTAGAAAATTAATTAAATTTATATTATACTTATCAAAATACGAAATTAATAATTTTGACATTCATCTTGATTAAAAGTTAGATTTGAAATTTTGAGTCAATTTTTTTTTCTATTTAATTAACTTAAAAGTTTTGTCATCTTATATATTAACATATAATATATTTTCTACTCGCATATTAAAAATTATATTGTGCTGCAAAAAGTTTTTAACACCGGCAATGCGAGATGTGATACTTGGATAAGAAGATTTGCTATATAAACAACATCTTTTGAGAGTAAACAATATAAGAGCAATAAAATTTTCATTTCATTATTTCGAATAAAAGTTTTGTCATGAGGTTTAATCAAACTTCATCAATCAAATCCAAAATAATATTCCAATCCAAAATATATTTTTTCACTAATTTGTTCCGTTTCAATTCGAATAGCTGGCGCCTACTACCGACTGAGTGAGAGAAAGAGAGGATATTTCCTAGAGAGAGAAAGTTTGTTTTGAGTCACCATGGTCCATTTTTAGCTATTAGCCTAGTTCTTAGAATTGTCTATATCGAGATAGCTTATATTTTATATATCTCAGTTTTCAAAAAATACAGAAATTTCTCAAATTTTCTGATTAAATTTTATTTTCTTAGCACAAAATACAAAAATTTTAGTATATAAAACTTATACGACAATTCTGAACATTAGATAGTTTTCAAGAAAATTTTCACCGCATAAATTAAAAAATGTAAGATTTAAAAAAAATAAAAAAATAATCCTGATTCTAAAAAAATTAAAAAAATAATTCTGATTTTGTCAGCATAAAATGGGGATATAAATTTTACTGTATCTACGTTAATTTAATGATCATATGAATGTAAATGTTATGATTTGACTGCTGATAAACATATTGCTCATTTACCGAGCTTTGAATTCAGTTATAAGTTTAGGTGACCTACTGAGCTTATTAAGCTCATTATATATGGTTAAATGATTTTAGGTCATGATAGAGGAGCATGAGTGTGAGGATGGTCAGGATTCTTGAGGTTCTGGTTCTTTTTATTTTTCTTTTGTACTCAGGACTTATTAGTAATGATTTGATTGAGTAGATCATGAGCAATGTATATGATTTTTGAGAATGAATATAGATGTTTACATTGACGTTTTGAATTATAGAATCTATTTTGTTGTTTATTACTGATAGATTATATTAGATAGCTCTGATTGGTATTTATTAAAAGATTAAAAGAATAATTCTTTCAATTTAGATTCTAGGGCATTACATTTAATACTTTATTTAAAATATTATAAAATCATATCAAATTATTTAGAATGATCAAATCTATCATATATCCAAACTTGCGTGGTGAAAGTTTATGAAAATAGTAGATAATATATTTTGACAAATTTATGAGAGATAAAATTCATAGAAATCAAAATCATTGAAAAGAGAAGTAAGAGATTTGTCACTTACAATGAATAAAATAAAATTTATAATAGGAATGTCTGATAAATATAATCCAAACACATTTCTCTCTCCTCTCTCTTCTTCCCCACTTTTAATTTCTTCCTAACCAAATAATCAAGTAAGGAAGTCACTGGGTATATTATTCTTGGCCTAGCACCGCAACATTCTACTTCAAAATTTTAATATTTTTCAAGAAAATTTATTTAACATATTTAAGTTATTACAAGTGGCCTATTGAGAAGTTACACCAACAAGACAAAACCGTAAGGCTCTTAGGTCAAAGCGGAAAATATCTCGATAGTTAAGAGTTTGAGATATTACAAATGATATTAGAGCAATACACCAACCGGAAGATTAGAACTAAGTATCATACAAGATAAAGCGCTTTGTCATGATAGTTAAGAGTTTGAGATATTACAAATGGTATTATAGCAATACACCAACCGAAAGATTAGAACTAAGTATCATACAAGATAAAGCGCTTTGTCATGGGAGCAACCTCTTGAACCCACTATATAACATATTGCTACATGATGGGAGACAACACTTAAACTTATAAGGAAAACCTCTATAATGTTATATGTGTAGTGAATGATTCTAGGATAAAGATGCTAATGAGGATATCAGCTACTTAAGTTGGAGAGATCGTGAAATCCCTCAAGTTAAAGAAATTAAACTCTTAAACATTGAGGCATCTTTTCGTGTAATGGTTATAATTTTATTGAGAAACTCCGTAGTTAAGCATGCTCATCTCGGAACAATTTTAGAATGTGTGACATATTGAGAAGTTACACCAACATGACCAAACCGCGAGGCTTTTATACCAAAGCGGACATATCTCAATAGTTAAGAATTTGGGTTGTTACATCCTCCTCCCTCGACCCTGATCCTATTTATCAACTTCTTATCTTGCACTCTTGATCCTCATATTAGACTAGCCTCCATTGACACGTTATAAATCATCTCTTAGAGGAATCATAATGTTACCACGTCTATATAATGATAATGTCTAATCAACTAAGGGCAACTAGCATAAAGAATTATCCTAATACACTAGTAATATTGTGAGAGCTCGTTTCTTTGATCTGTTTCTCTCTAGATTTGATTTTCCTCCCAGGATCGTCCGGGACGATATTGAGATCGTCCGGGACGATCAGTGCAGTGAGACAGCTGATTTTTCTGGAATGGGATCGTTCAGGCCGATTTTGGATCGTCCTGGGACGATCAGAGGAGACAAAAATCCCGAGAGCAAAACTGAAATTATCGGCCTGAGGAAGAGTCCTGGACGATTGGATTTTGTTCACATCATCCTGGACGATGTGGCGATCGGCCGGGCCGATCAGGCTTATGTTATAAGGAAATCAGCTCGTTTTGAGGAGAGAGAAAATCATTTTTATAAAAACGAAAATATCTGAGGAGAGAGAAAGAGAAGGAAAGCGAAGGAAAAGCTGGTTTTCGGAGGCCGCGGAGCGCTTTTCGTTCGTCGACGCTGTTGAACAATTTGTTTATCTCGCTGTAAGGACTCCGAATCCTATTTTTGTTTTCGAAGATGTTGAGTTTTGGTCGTTTTGTGCTCAGATTTGTGTTTTCGTTACCAAAAAACGCGCACCATTTTGTATTGACACAACTTTCACCGCACAACTTTTAATATGTTATAGATACGAATATTCTACGCGATTTGATTGTTTTCTGGAATGATTTTACCTGTTATTTTGGGCTCTACGTGATTTTGTTCGAATAGAAAAATATCATGATGTTTATTGATATTGATTCAGTAGAATAATAGTCTTATATTATTGTCGTGAACATTCTATTGTAATTTGGTGAATTGTGATTTTGTAGGATTTTTGTGTAAATTTGATAGACTGCCGTTACGCAGCAGAAATTTCGTACGATTTCCGATTTTTCTGAGATTGATGAATTGAATAGATACGCATATGAATGTTGATATGATTGCTCTACATTGTTCTTATATTGACTATTGAATACTGTAAGACAAGCCTGGTTGAACGTTGGTTGGAGATTGAATTGACCTGTACAAGATGGTGGACCGACGGGCTTTCCTTTAAATCATTGATCATTGATATATCGATTGGGAGTTATAAGGAGTTTAATATGCCGACGGGCGGCCGACGGGCACAGAGTGACGACTCTTATTGAAACCAACATATGAATATCTACAATAGCAATATGGATTCTACAACAGCACTATGGATTTCTACAACAGCACTATTGATAGCCAGTGTTTGTACTTGTTCAGTAAGACCATTGTATGAAATTACATGTGTACGATATTGCATTGTTTGGATTT